GCTTGTATGTTATCTTCTGTGGGCATTTCTATTTCACATCTAAATTAAAATTTTGAATTGTAAAATGCGACAAGACGCAAAATATGCAATATAATTAATAGAATAGCTAATTTATGTATAATTTTATAATTACTTATCTAGAAGTATCAAGTCACAACAGAAAACACTAACTGGCCAATTGAACTGGCTAATTACATTTTTCACATTTACAAACAAAATTAAAACCTTAAGCTATATTTCACAGCTCTGGTGCAAGTAAAACATTTGTGTACCACCATTATATTCCCAGTGCAGCTGTTCATAGAAGAAATCACACATTTTATATTTAATATTTATAATTCCCAGTGGCTCACCTGAGCTGGATATGACCGAGTTGAGGGAAAGAAGCCTTGCTTGCTTTTGATGCACCATGCTAAAGGTAAGACACGCTTCCCTGACAAACATCGTCAAAGAAACGACGCAGCCATTGGCCTCCAGCCTGCGGTGTGTAGTTAGGATCTCCCGCGACAGTTAGCGGGGAGGTTTGTATGCCCAAGGACATTCCTGTAATGATGTGCACTTCTTAAACATGGGGGTGTATACAGGGGCGGGGCAATAGGGGCACTGCCCCCAGGTGACAGCTGATTGGCCCCCTGAGTGGCCCCTACCTTGTCACTCACCGTTTCCAAACATATCATTGGCTAATGATAAGGTTGGTCCCTCTCTATGAATTATGGGCCCTCTTATGCCCCTTAACCATCCCAGAATTGCCACCGCTTAAAGCGATGAAAGCAGCCTCCATAATTGACGCTGATGGCAGCAACAGCCACAAAGTTCCAACTGAGCATACAAATTGAGCTGGGAATATAGCCAGAGAGGCTAAGAGACGGACTGCTAGTTGACACTTTATGGCATCAGTTGGCTCTCCGTTGGTTTGGACCGAAAAATTTGCCTTTAGCGTCGATCTCCTGTACTTAACACCAATTCCACTGCTTAGGAAAATGCCTGCATAATCATCGTTCTTTAACGCCACACTGACACACATTTTCACTTTAGTTAAAATCTTTTAACTTATTTAACTAAAAAGAAAGCTTTCTAACTAAACTTTTTAAAGCATATTCAGCTTGCCTTTAGTTACAAAAAATTACAAGACCCTTGAGTAGCTACAGATAATAATATCATTAAATTTGCCTTGAATAACCGATATGGATTCAAAGCCTCCTCAGTCTTCGACTTTTGCTATGTAGAACCATGTCGCTCGGCTTACAAATCTCATCAAATGCAATCCTTCCATTACGAATGTAATTAAAAATAAATGTTTCATAAAAATAGATTGTAAGGAAAGCAATTTACTAGATAATAACCTCCAAATGTGATACATATTAACACTCACTCCACAGCTTTGTCATATACTTGCGAATTTAAGTACTTCCTGAGTTCCATAGTATTTAATTACTTTCATTGCTTTCATTATTTAGATGAAAACCGTTAAATGTACCGATAAACATGGTCGCTATACTGGGTCTTTATTATTGGTATTTTTAAATACCAATTAAAGGCATAGCTACCCTCATACTTATAATCAGGTGGCCTGCTGACCTCTGAGCAATTCGTCTTCATCTCTTAATCCTCTTTTAATAAAATATCTTTTAATTTCTTGAAAAACCAAGATCCTTCACCAGGCGTTAGTTTTCTACCCGGTCCGAGCAGTATGAGTCTCTGTAGGAGTCTGCGTTTTTTTGAAGAAGGGTCTAATCTGAAGCTGATAGCATCTGTGCACATTGTTATCAATCGGTTGGCGTATTCAGACCATCTGTGCGATGCCCATGCCAGGTCTGTCAGATCCACCGCCAAAGAATACCTTTGTTGTATTTTTATCCCTCATTGGGCATCATAGGCATGGAAATCCAGTGAAGTTTGTAAGATACAAGTCCACTGAAAAACTCTGAGAGAATAAAATCCATCAACCGGGTAGAATAATGAGCTGATAGTTTTCAATGGACATGTAAGGTTGGACACATTATTTAAAAATGAAATGATAGCACTCATTTTCCATCCCCCACTTGTTAGAAGCGTGGCAAAGTTGAGGATGGTGCTGCGAATTCACAGCCCCCATATCTCTGTCACAGTTCAGCCTTGTGCTTTCCTTCTCACAATTACTCACTCATTCCGTTGATTTTTTCTGCTGTAATATTTGATCTAATCGGTTGTGTTAACTCTTGTTCGCTAACAGTAATCACTATAATACGTCCAGGTAAAAAAAAAATAGGTATGCTTTTAATGCCAATTTTGTTTTAAATAACCCTCACAAATCATATAGACTTCTGATCTTAATTTCTTCATAAAATAGTGCTGGTATCTGTCAAGCATTTTGAGAATTCAAACCAATGTGCACAATTTTTGTACCAGTGGAAGAAATTTGTACTAACAGAAGTAGCTGGTCATATAATATATGAGCAACAACGATGAAGGATATACTGACATTTTCATGTTTTGAAAGAGTATCGCTAAGCACCTTTGAGAAAGTACAAGACAATGACTTTCCATAGAGGTCTGCATTTGCATGTTTCCGAGGGGGAGGAGGTACTGATGAAACAGCTAAATCACGAGATCAAAATAATGAAAAAAAAGAAAACAATTTCTATTAATTTATTAAGCCGTTCATTAAATCTATGGTTATAAATCAGATTTTTTCCTCATGGACAAAATTCTATAATTTGGTAACACAGAATAGGTAGTGCTCCCTATTCTATTAATATTTGCATTTGCAGTTATGCAACAGTAAATTGTTGACGTTGGCAGCTACACTTCTGTTAGCTGCAGCGAAATGCTCCAGGCTACTGCAGTAAACCGTAAACAGAGACGTGTTTGAACACTTCTCTGCAATTGTCAGTTTAGAGAGGGCAGAGCCACCCTTGGTTCTGAAAGGGCTAAAGGTCCAACTGGAAATTAAATGCTTCTGCTCTCCGCCGTGCCAGTCATCCACAGTGCTGGTCCACAAATCAATTCAGGGATGATGGTTTACCAATGGGTAGGGTGACCGTATTTTGGTTTTCAAATGACATTGGGGGCAGGACATGTGAGAGGCATCAAAGCAACGCAAATATGCTCGTATTCAGCCTGACTGTAGACAGCAAATGTCAGCATGACACGAATTGAAATCCCAGACAATTCAGGCACTTTTTAGGTCTCAAAAAACAAGGACAAGTCCAGAAATAAAGCACATATGGTCACCCATTAAGGAAGGGTGCCCATTAAGGAAGGTCCTTTGCCATTATATATGTGAAGTCAAGATATTATATAACCGTATCATGTTCAATAGATCACATTCATTTTCACAACGTGGCTGATTTTACGCAAGTTCTGTATGAAGCTACTGTTTGAATAGAAAACGTTTTCTGTGCTTTAATGTGATAGTTCATGTCTGAGTCATCAGTGCCCCGCTGTACTTGCTGAATTTATACTGTTATCATCAGTATTTGCAATTTTCAATTTGGTATTTAAATCGATCTGTATAAACACAGGTAAAGTGATGTTAGCTTGTAACGTTTTGCTAAATTTGTGCTGCGGAAGTCGATTCAGCTTCATATTAGCTGTATTTGGCTTTTGGGACTAACTCAGATCATCAATGTTAATTAAATTATGTGACTACGTTCACATTTATCTTGCTTTTCATTTACTGCAAATCACCATAATCCCTTTTTATATAAAAAAAACAGCATAACACATTTTAATCCCTCACTTTCCCTCACCAATCTTCTCACTTTCATTCCTGGGTTCATGTTGAATATCAGAACTTCTCATCGAGGTGAACTTCAGAAAGTGTTGAAAGTGACTTTGCCCTAACCCTTGATGAGCATCAGAAATGGAATGATTTCTTAGCTGAGTGACCAGGCTGACCAATTTAAAATGATGTCTGCTCTAGTGAAAATACTAGTTAATCGGTCAGCTGGTTTCAGCCTATATGAAGTGATCTGCATTACTGGCCGAACAACTTATCAGATGATGTCATCTGGTATGTACTGGTATGCACTACTCAGCTGGAAAACCATTAATAACACAGAGTAACTAGTGCAGCAAGTACTGTGCAGCTATTGTTTGTAAGCCAAAGTACAGCAAGTACTGTGCGGCTATTGTTTGTAACCCAAAGTACAGCAGGTACTGTGCGGCTATTGTTTGTAACCCAAAGTACAGCAGGTACTGTGCGGCTATTGTTTGTAACCCAAAGTACAGCAGGTACTGTGCGGCTATTGTTTGTAACCCAAAGTACAGCAGGTACTGTGCGGCTATTGTTTGTAACCCAAAGTACAGCAAGTACTGTGCGGCTATTGTTTGTAACCTAAAGTACAGCAAGTACTGTGCGGCTATTGTTTGTAACCCAAACCAACATATCGGTTCAGCTGTTCGAGATAAGCGGAACTTCGTGTTATGGAATTTTCACTTGGGTTATCTTGTTCACACTGATGACACCCCCGGCGTGTTCTGAGGTCAGATCGCTGACTTCCAGAGCATGTTCGGCAAGGTCAGGCAGTGACAGGCACTAAGAGGCGTGTTTCAGTCGTTGCAGCTGCACGCCAGCCGCTGGATTAGCCGGCGGCTGACAATGAGGAAATGCCCTTTCGGGATACTCTGTTATTTAGCTTTTCTATATAAGAACGATCTGCTTTTCCTCAAATGAAGACGTCTCTTGAAATTGTAGCTTCAGCTTAGAGATATTTTGAGCTGCATTTGGTATTTCTGGGATACATTTGTCACGGTGCCTCCACACAGCCCGAATGCGACCTAAGTTCTTGAAACACGGGTCTCCAACTCCAGTCCCGGAGAGCTACTATCCGGTATGTTTTCTATCCTACTTGGCTTCTGATGAGCCACACCTGTTCCTGGTATTTACCTGAGAACAGGTGTGGCTGATCAGAAGCCTGGTAGGATAGAAAACCTACTGGACAGTAGGTCTCCAGGGCCGGAGTGGAAGACCCCTGTCTTAACAAGTTCGACCACAGTGGTTAGGCAGCTGTCCTCACCTTGCCCAGGCCTGGGGTGTCTTTGACCTTGTTTACAGCACGGAGCAGGCAGGGCGGAGCTGGAGGTGGCCATGTTTGCAAGATGCCGCTGAAGTTGGTGGGGAAGAGGGGTGGGTCGCACACCAAGGGTGGAGCTGGCCGTTGCTGCTTCTTCTTCTTGGAGGACAGGTTTAGCTTCTGAGCAGCTCTGCGGAGAGACAATCAAAGATCTAGGTTAATCAGCTCAAAGCCAGTGATGCCTAGAGGAGGGGAAATATTTACCTAACAACTAATATATTATCATTTTATTTTTTTATTTAGCTATTTTTTTATCTATAGCAACATACATTTATAAGAAAGCAGGGTCATCCAGTCCCTGGAACAGCTAGAGATGAAGGTGTTGCTCAGGGGCCCAACACTGAAATCACATCAGGATTTGAACCAGTGAGGAACAGCATCCTAACCCACTGAGCCAAACATTGCCCTAGATGTTCTATGCTTTGTAAGTGCCTAGGTTATCAATGATTAGAACAGAAAAAAATGCACAGTCACAACCTGGACTACATGTGTCTGTTCTAGATTCCTTAGACATTACATACTCTCTCACCATAATTCTTAACTTTTACAAAACCATGTTTATTGCCGCAATAAACAAGTTTACTGCTTCACCTTGTTGACTGACATTAATTGTCATGATGAGCTCTCTAGTTGAACATATGGACTTTATAAAACTCTAAACTCTATGATCTGCTCGCTCCCACATGCACAGCCGCCGCGTCACGCAATGCACGACTTTGCCATCTTCTCACAAACGCTTTCAGAGTGACCACGACTTTGCCATCTTCTCACAAAGGCTTTCAGAGTGACCATGACTTCGCCATCTTCTCACAAAGGCTTTTAGAGTGACCACGACTTTGCCATCTTCTCACAAACGCTTTCAGAGTGACCACGACTTCGCCATCTTCTCACAAACGCTTTCAGAGTGACCACGACTTCGCCATCTTCTCACAAACGCTTTCAGAGTGACCACGACTTCGCCATCTTCTCACAAACGCTTTTAAAGTGACC